AGAGAGAGAGAGAGATTATTATGTCTTCTGCAGATTGAGCATGTTTATGATTATCCCCATGAAAGAAGACAAATGGCAATATCAGAGGCACACCAAGTTTGTTACCTTGAAAACTTTCTGCTAGGACTCTTTTATCTGTCATTTACTTGCAGTCTAATGCATTAAAAGATCGCAAACTAATTTCTTAATATAAATTTAAATTATTTATTTTAAAAATAATAAGGGAAAAAATAATATTCAAATAAACTCAGTGAACTGATTTTCACATCTCAATTGTAATTTCTACATGCTATTCAGGAATAATAATTAATAAGCCTTCTCTAGTAAATATGACTAGTGAATTATAAAACAATTTTCACATACACAAATGCCGGAGAAACAAGAAAGTTTGCAATTCAAAGCACTTACGGTAGGACACCAGCAAGATTCCCAGCCAATCCAGAATAAAGCCCCTTCAAAACTATTTTACTTCCACCATGAGCTGCATAGAGGAAAAGAAGAGAAACTTCAAAAAGTTTTGAGTGGAAAGTTAAAGTTAATACCAAAGCAAGCACTTGATATGCACTCCTTGTCTATTTTCCGTAATGCACAATAAGAAGAATTTCAATCTCATAATTACTGACACATTAATTTATTTACACACAGATTTTGCTCTTGGACCAAATGTTATTCATTCCACAGGAACAAAAAACAGTAGCAATTGTCTAGCCTATCTCCATACATACACAAAAAAGATAGGCAGAGAAAAATGGGGATAAACAGGTGTGTACAAATGCAAAATGATATAGGATAATCTCTTAACCTAACACTTTTTCCGGTAGTAAGGGCAAACATTTCCATTTTTTGTTGGAATGAAACCAAAGGGATTTACATATTTCTGTACTCAAAAAATTTAATCTGTTCATTAATGGAAGAAGCGGGGAAAAAAGAGTCAGACACTAAAGTGAGTTAATTTTATCCCAATCCATTCCTTTCATTGCATTCAACCAAACAACTGAAAACAACAAGTTGATTTTGTTATTCCTTCCATTTCCATTTTCCTCTCTTCATTTTGCTTCCTCTCCAGTGTCTTTTACTCCAACAAAATTATTGTGTAAAGATCAAGCCAAAGACTTGGACTAAACACCAGGAAAAAAAGAAATACTTAACCTCCATTTTGACATGTATTATAAGTGCTCAAGATTAACCTGCCTGCAGCCGTGTCTTTATTGTATCAATTGGGTATAAAGCTGTTTCAACCACAACACCAGCTGTACCTCCTGCTATGATACCCTCTGCAAATATTAAGAACAAGTCAGAATACATGAATATATCATCGGAGTTTACCAAACTAGCCATACTGATAACTAGTGAAGGCAATTTGTGCAAAGAAAAAAAATTACTGCTGGATCTATGGTTCTCTTATGTTTAAAGAAACAAACAAGAAAATTTATTATTCACAACCCTCTTTCTAGAGAATTATTATTCTCTAAACGGACAGATTCATTATTTCCAGACTGGACACATGCACATAAGTTATAGAGGCTCATGCTCATACAACAGACCTATTTTGCAATGGCTTTCACTTAAAAAAAAAGTTCTGACAGTTTTTTTTTTCATGAACAAATCTCTCTATCCAATTTCCATGGTAGTCTGTTTTTTCCATTGACACTTCTTCAATTATTATTACACATACCAAATAGAATACGTAGGAAATTGAAAGGTTTTTCCTCTTCCATGCTGACTGATGCAAAGCACTTTCTTGTTTCCAGCTGTAAGTTTTGGATCTTCCCACTGGATACATCTGCAAAACCATATCAACTGTTCAAACAATAGAAAACAGGTAAAACAAAGAGATGGGAGAAATGTTGAGGTAACATAAAAAAAATGTCCAAAGCAAGAAACTGCCCTTAGTTCAAGATACAATAGTGTCCAGTTACATTTTCTTTCTTGTTATAAATTGATAATTAAAAGAAAAAAGCAATTCCTGCAGACATGTGCATAAATGCAAAAGTTCAAGATTCAGTCAAATTGTATATACCCATTCCAAATGTATCTCAACAAATTCTGCTTTATTCTCAATACCAAGAGTTCATTGGTACTAGCTTCTCTTTTGCTGGAAATAAAAATAGAATCATTGCTTGAGAATCAAGAATAAAAGAACTACCGAGTTCCATCTTGCTTAACCCAAGATGTTATGAACAATTTGGTTGCACCGCGTGAATACTAAATACAACTACAACAACAACAACGACAACAAAGCAATGCCATTAGAGTTAATCCATGGATTTCTCCTAGCCAACTCTGTCTAAACTCTAAACAAAACTGATTGCACCAATAACAGCCCACAAGGAAAAAAAAAAGGCAATTGACGCCAGAAAATTGGAATATAACATAAACCAATGTATGTCAAACAAAGATTAACTAAATGTTGAAAGTTGGTTAATTACCTGAAGTGACAATAGAAGGGCTCTTGGTGTCAATGGCCAGTGTAAAAGGGCCCATGTCTAGAGGACCAAGCCAAACACTTTTCAACGTTCCACTATACTTTCACTGAAGAAGAATTGCCTGAAAGATTAAAAACACAAAGTGTGGAACAACTAAACACTCTGAATTCTGAAATAATACCAGAATTTCACTCCTTGAAAACAGAGAAAAAAAAAAGGCATATGGGTTGTTTCATTTCAATACTTGCAACTCATCTTGATGAGGAAAATGTGCAATAAGAAAAAAACCAAATAAAATTGAGATATAGAAAAGAGGAGAAAGTACCCTCTTTGGGAGAGTGACAATTCTGGGAAGTTTGGCAGTGTAGAAGGAAAGAGATAGAACAAGAATCTTGTTCGGTTCCGTTATTTTTATGCTGTAATAACAGTAGTAGCAATGGGCCAAAGTCCACAGCTGAGCCCATTTTGTAACTTCGGCCATTGGGCCTGACGGGTAACGGTAAAATTTTCATTTTTTGGTCAATTTATTTTGAAAGAAAATGAATGACAAGTATTTTTATTTGAATTAGTATTTATTTTTCATGTGTAATTATTTTTATTTATTTTTAAAATAATGATATATAAAACATAAATATTTTTAAAGTATAAAGTTAGTTGTATATAAATAAAAGACAATTATATGTAAAAAATTATTAATGTTTCAATTATATATTATTAAAATTTTATCAATTATTCAATATTATTAGAATTTAAAAATATTTTTTAATGAAACTCATTCAATAAAATTAGAATTTTATTTATAAATCAGAAAATTCTTTTAATACTTATAGTTACAAACATTTTTAATGAAAGTCATTCGATACAATAAAAATTTTAATATATTTACAAATTATAGTTAAAAATATTGTGTTTTATACTGTTTGACAAATGCCTAACTAATTCATATATGACACATTTATACTAGTTTAATTATTCCTATTTATATGTTAATTCACATTGCTTTTCAAAAAAAAATTAACTCTCTTGAATCAGTTTATCTAATTCATTTAAACTCATTTATTGAATTATTAATAATTGCAATACTTAAATTAACTTATTTTTCATGTTTATATAGGTTAATTATATTCATGTAAATTAATCTTGTAGTGTTTAAATAAATTAATTATATTCAAACGTGTTGATTGTATTATATTATGTAAATTGTCCAAAAGACATGTCTTGCTCATGTCAAGATTAAATAATTGTGTGATGTTACACGGCACAAGTATGTTCTCATATGAAAATTTAATAATTATTATGTCTTTTTCTAAGTTGTTAATTAAGTAGAAATTAAGTTACTTATCGTAATATTATATATAAAAGTTCTTGCCGGCCTTTATAGTTAATTAGTTCGATTTAGCACAAATTGATTAGCTAACAATATGCACGCATCAAATGGTTCTATGGACTGTATATGCAACAGGTCATGTATGACGTCAAACCTTTCCTTCTTTTCGTTTTTTTTTCCCATTTTTTCAAGATTTAATAACAGTTCATGCATGCATTTCACGTTTATTATAATAATTCTGGCAAATTAATGAAAACTATGAATTCATTAATTAACATGACATAATAATATATTATGTTTATAAAAAATATTTTTTATATAATTAAATAATAAATTATATAAATATCGACATAAATCTTCTAGATTATAGACTTCTAGTAATTTGTACTCTATTTCCTTATTGCTTAACATTTGTGCACAAACTAATATTAGAAAAAAAATGTTAGGGCTACTAAAGGAAATCTAGGAAGTTTTTTGTATGACAAGTTCCTACAGCAAAAGATCACCAAGTGAAGCTTCTCACTTTCACTGATTTCTCGTACAGCCATGAATTCTACAGCAAAGTAGCAATTTAGAACCCTTACAAATCTCAATTTTCATTTTTCCTCGACTTGGTACAGACAAAGAAAAAAAAAAAGTCAAGAAGAGGTGTTCCCAATATTTCCTTATTATTTTCTGACTAAACCGGCCAAAATTCCCTTGAATTGGATTCCAAAAGTCTAACAATGGCTCCAGCCATGATCCTCCTATGGGCCTGTTCCTTGATATTGCTCCCTGCCAGTGTTGTGGCACAAGACCTTGGTGTCAACTGGGGCACGATAGCATCGCACCTCTTGGACCCCACAATAGTTGTTAATATGATCAAAGACAATGGTATCAGAAAGGTTAAGCTTTTCGATGCTGATCCTTATACCCTGAATGCCCTGGCTGGAACTGACATCGAGGTCATGCTGGGGATTCCGAATTCTTTTTTGCACAATTTGTCAGAGCAATACAGTACAGCCCAGGCTTGGGTCAAACAAAATGTCACTGCATATCTTGGTAAAGGGGGTGTAAATATTAGGTAAGTTGATAAATGATAACCATATAGTTTCTAGATCGTTTCTACTTTTTCTTAATCTACCAGTTCATTCAACTTCTTATTATAATTTTTATTTGATGCATTCATTTTTTTTAGAAAAAGAAGCATTTATTTATTCATCCTCTACCAAGTAGGCCATGATAAGTCTTTATTCTTTAATCTCTTTAACAGAAGACTTTCAGCCACATGAAATGAGTGGCGTAGGCAAGAGAACTGAATACTTACAAAAGATTTGGTTGCACAGTAAGCCGTCGGCAGCGTGCTATCAATTGCCTACCCTATACAAAAACAAACTAGCAACAAAAACAGAAGCCTTAACCTGGTAGACTTGACATCGACAAAGTCCTTGGCCTATTAACCAGTCCTATAAGACACAAAAACCCATCATTCATAAGTTCTCAAAATCAGGTTCATTTCAAACAACATTTTGGGTATTAAGAGTGTTTAATACACAAGATATTTGAGAAGATTAAAAAAGGATACACAAGAATATTCATGTATATAAGATTATAACAGAAAAAGATGTCACAAAGAATTTAACTAAAAATGACTATAACAAACATGTATGATACTGAAATGGTATCTAAATATAAGAAGTAAGGGCGTAAATCAAGCAACCAAAAAATAAAAATTAAGGGTTAATCAGCTTGTCAATCTAGATGTTGAATGTTTTCTTCTAATTTACAGGTACGTGGCTGTAGGGAATGAACCATTCTTGACAAATTACAATGGTTCGTTTACCAACTCTACATTCCCAGCGATGAAAAATATTCACAAAGCACTGAACGAGGCTGGCGTTGGAAAACAAATCAAAGTATCAACAGCCCTTAATGGTGATGTTTACGCGACGGCTTCGTACAAACCATCAGATGGTATGTTTCGTGACGATATAGCAGATGTCATGGGCCAAATATGTGAATTTCTCCAAGAAAATGATTCACCTTTTATCATCAACATCTATCCTTTCTTTGATCTCTACCAGAATCCCAGCTTCCCCAGAGAATATGCATTCTTCGATAACCAGATCACGGTTGACGACAATGGTCTTGAATACCACAATGTTTTTGATGCGAGTATCGACACTCTTGTTGCGGCACTGCAAAAGGCCAAAGCCCCGGATGTACCGGTCATTGTTGGGGAAGTTGGATGGCCAACGGATGGCGATTTTTACGCCACACAACAAAATGCTCAGAGATTCTATAATGGTCTGATAAAGAAAATGGTTAGCAACGAAGGAACTCCACGTCGACCAAACAAGAACCCTGATGTGTATATGTTTTGTTTGTTGGATGAGGATTTTAAGAATATTGATCCAGGTATGTTCGAGAGGCATTGGGGAATTTTCACCTTCGATGGACAACCCAAGTTTCCAATGGATCTTTCAGGGAAAGGAGAGAACAAGTCTCTTGTGGGCGCGAGAGGTGTCCCATACTTGGCTAGGCAGTGGTGCGTGCATAACAAGGACGCTGACAACCAGGAGGATTTGGCCAAAAAGGTTGAATATGCTTGCAATAATACGGATTGCACAAGCTTAGCAGCTGGAGCTTCATGTTCCGGAATGGGTACTGATATGAACGCCTCAGTTGCTTTCAACATGTACTACCAAATGCAAGATCAGGCTGAAGAAGCATGTGATTTCCAGGGTTTAGCCAAGCTTGTCAAGCAGGATCCATCCAACGGGACTTGCCAGTTCCCAATTATGATTGAAAAATACCAAGCTACACCTCCCCCAGGGGCGCCAAATTCGAAGTCTGCTTCGGGACCATCAGGGTCAGATTCAGATTCACCAGGGTCCAACTTTGGCGATTCATCCTCTTTCGATCCCTCTACCTTTCCTTCTCCCCCATTTCTTTTTCTAATTCTTGTGGGCATTTGCATTGTTCTGCTTGCATAAATAGCTATAGATTTGATGTTCTAAAGAGAAAGTGTAAAAGTTTTTTTTTTTTAACTCTGAAATGAGGGAAAATGTAAGTTCAATATATAGGAGAGTTTTTGTGTTTGAGGGAAAAAAAAGTGGAAATATATGGTGATTGCACTCTTCAAAAAAATACAGTGATTGCAAAGATGTTCAAAGAACACTATTACTAAAATTTAACCCTCCATTTTGAAAATATTGGAATCTTATCCTAGATTTGTAGCGTAAAATTTATTAATAAGAGTAGGCTGAGAGTGGCGTTCACACTTGCTGTTTATAAGAGAATGGAGATCGAAAGTCACCTCCAGATGGGCTGTGTTTTGCAGAAGGGTGAGGAGCTGGTATGTTATGGCTATCAGACAAAGTGTGCGTTTCTAGTGTGCAAGAAGCTGCAAGAGAAGGAAACAGGCCATATGGTTTTGTTTCTTATTCTTACTTGTTCTGCACCACTGGTTATATTCTTTTTGGTGATATCAACTATTGTACAGGGATTGATGTAAATGGGGTAAGAGTTTGTGAATTTCGTATAGATACTGGTAATATATTTGTAAGCCAGATGAAAGCGCCCAGGCTGAAGTCTCCTCAGTCGGGTTATTTTGTCTTACATGTACAAGGGGTTCCCCTGTATTGATTTGAAATGAAGCTAACTTTTCAAAAAAATAGAAGGCATTAAAAAAACAACCCTTGGGTCATAGCAAGATCATGGACATGAGTCAATCGGCTTTGCACTGCATTTAATTAAATGACTTCAGGGTGACTTCGATGGTGACAAGGATTGAAGGTCAACGGTATACTGCATATAATCCACTGCATGTTCATCAAAATTCATCTTTTTTTCGTTTTTTTTCTGACTTACTGTTTCGCTCGTTCGGCAGTATCTCTTCTGTTCTTCTCCGTCAGCTTTCTCTTTCGCGCGTTCTCCAGTATCGTTGCTGTTCTTTTTACTTTCAGCTTTCACTTTTGCTCGTTCTGCAGTATCTTTGTTGCTATTGATCACTGATATTGGTCTAGGTCCTATCTTTGTGTATAAGTATATACATACATAAAATAGGGTGAATATTTGATTAAGTCAGTTAATTTACTTAACAAAATATTGTTAACCGACTTAATTGAATTCACTATAAATTTTAATCAAACTAATCGAATCTTTATAGTAACTTAATAAATCGATTAATTCAATTAGCTCGGTTAATTTAATTATTTATAGATTAACCGAAATTTTTTAAGCCATGGGCTTGGATGCGCTCAGGCCCATTTTTCCCAGCGTGACTAGTTATTCTTGGATGAAACCTCGCTCTTTTTTGCGCGCGCGGACTGTCTTGAGTTGGTTTTGATTCGTTGCCTATGGGGTCTGTTGATAAGACCTTGACTCCGTCGGTCTAGGCTAGTGTTAACCGCCATTATTGCCCTTGCTCCGGCTGCCCCTTAGTCTTCTGGTGGGCTGGCACCTCACGAAGAACCTGATTGCTGTGGAGTTATGCTTGCTGACACAAAAGTTTCCTTGGCCGGTGTTGGTGTGCTGTTGTCAAACGAAGGACTAGTTAAGCTTAGGAATGTGCTACCTCTGCTCGATAGGTAGAGGGCATTTTTTGGGTTTGAACTTTGAAACCTAATCTTAATACTTTCATCTAAAGTGAAGTTGTATACGAATAGGTTGATGAAAGCTGGAATTGTATGGAAATGAAGGATGGAATGGATCCGTGTTCAAGGAAGTGAGGAAAGTTGGTGTGCTTGGCTGCTGCTTTGGGATGCCATGGGTGTCTAAAAGGATGGATTCTGATCAGTTGTTGGTTATATAGACAGGGTTAAGCTCATGAGTTAGTATAGGAAATGTGTCCAGGTTGTGGTGGAATGGCCCTTCTTTGCTCCATTGTTTTTGGCCATCTAGGGAGCTGTACATATTTGTGTAGATTTTAAGGTTGATCTCATCTACAACCTGTAGGCTTCTGTTTATCTCGGTTCTCTCTTGTAGGAAAGCCACCAAAGGAAGTTAATGTCCCCTTGCTGCAACCTGCCCCACTACCATATAAGGGTAGTTTTTGTATATCTATTTTTCTGAGTAATGAAATCATACAAATTGCTTCTAAATAAATAAATATATATTTAATGAGTTATGTCCATATAATGATCTAAATTACTGATCACCATTTATTTTAATATTGACTTTTTTATATATAATCACTAATTGAATGTACATGATCAATTAAATTTTTTTTTAGAGTTTTTAAATTTTTTATACTAATGTATAAGATAAAGATGCATTTTGTATATATTTAAGCATATTAGGTTATGGTCCTTCGCCTCCAAATTAAAAACCAAAACTCTTATCTTAATTTTTTTATATTTTAAATTATTATAATGATTAATGAAAGTATGTATGTAGGTAATTACTTTTCCGTTTTAATTTTTTCTCCTATTTTCACTCATATTAAGAAAAAAAAATATGACTTTTGCTTATCTTATATTGTAAATTCAAATTTTTTATAATATTAATTGACAATACTTTTATTGTTAAAAAGTAAAAAATATTATTATTAATTATGACTCACCACCCATATAGGTTACTAATGATGCGATCCGTTTAAGATCAAATCTCATAGTAACTCGTTTATAATAACTCATTCAATCCAGACAATTCATCAATAACAAACTTCATAATAACCTTCTTAGACATCCATGTGTTTAATAACCAAGTTGGCATATGGTATTATTTGAAAATTTTTTTAAAATTTCTTTTTCTATTAAGTTGTAGATAATATGAAAAAAAAATTATACGTAAGCATATTATTCATTCTTTTAATATTTTTTTATAATTTTTATATCTAGAAACGGTAAAAGTTTATTTGTGACTCCTTTGAAGAGAAACTCCAAATTTTTGAATTTTTTTTCTTATTCAAAAGTTTGTTAAGAGAAACTAAAATTAGAAAATCAGTTAGGCTACTAACCAACTCCTTGAATGTCTTGTCTGGCTGTGTCATCAGACAACAAAAGGAGCTTTTTCCTACAACAAAACAACACCAGAAAGCGCCTATCCCTGTCTAAATTATCGTAATACCATACTTTCTGCATCAACCATTACAAAAAATTTGTTTTCTCCTCTGTACATTTTATTTCTAGCAATTGGATTCGTGCTAAAGCTCAGAAATTTTCAATTTCCGTTGTCCTCCTGCAAGAATTGGCTCGAACCATGGCTCGAGCCATGGCCCTCCTATGGGTCTGTACCTTGATCCTGGTCACGACCGGTGTTGTTGCAGATAACATTGGTGTGAATTGGGGTGTGATGTCGTCGCATCCATTGCATCCTAGCATTGTGGTTCGTCTGCTCAAAGACAATGGCATGAAAAAGGTCAAGCTTTTCGATGCGGATCCTTGGGTGGTAGGCTACTTGGCTGGAACTGGCATAGAGGTTATGCTTGGAATTCCTAATGATCAGCTAAAGACAATGGCTAATGACCACGGTGCTGCCAAGGATTGGGTCAAAGAAAATCTCACCAGACATCTTCATGATGGGGGTGTCAATATCAAGTAAGTTATACATAGTTCCCGATCAATTTGTTTTCATTTTGTCGATCTATTTCTTTATATCAAGTTGCAAGATCAATATAAAGGTAAACCTCTCTTGTCCCAAAAAGCCAAAACATAAAGAGGAAAATCTTCAAAAAGAAAAAGAAAAAGAAAAAACTGATCCATAATGGTGTGCTTTTTACAGGTATGTGGCTGTTGGGAATGAGCCATTCTTGAGTAGCTACAAGGGTTCATTTACCAAATACACTTTCCCAGCATTGAAGAACGTTCAGAAGGCCCTAAATGATGCAGGTATAGGAGACAAAATCAAAGCAACAGTACCTCTAAATGCTGATGTTTACGAATCGGGTTCAAACAAACCATCCGATGGTGCCTTCCGCAGTGACATAAAGGATCCCATGACGCAAATTGTGCATTTTTACAAGGAACAAGGATGTCCATTTGTCGTCAACATATATCCTTTCCTTAGTCTCTACCAGAACACTAACTTCCCTCAAGATTTTGCATTCTTTAACGGAGGCCACCCGTTGAATGATGAAAACGTTCAGTATGACAACGTTTTTGACGCAAACTATGACACTCTTGTTTGGGCATTGAAAAAAGCCGGGGTCCCGGATTTGAAGATCATTGTTGGGGAAGTAGGATGGCCAACAGATGGCAACAAATTTGGAACTAAAGATAACGCTAAGAAGTTTTATGATGGTCTATTCAAAAAATTAGCCAGTAATAAGGGAACCCCACTTCGTCCTGGGAAAATGGAAGTCTATGTATTCAGTTTGTTTGATGAGGACATGAAGAGTGTTGACCCTGGAAATTTCGAAAGGCATTGGGGAATTTTTACCTTTGATGGGAAACCCAAATTTCCAATGGACTTTTCTGGCAATGGAAATGACAAGCCATTGGTGTCTGCCAAAGGGGTACAATACCTGCCTAAGCAATGGTGCGTTTACAATAAGGATGCTATGAACCAGCAAGCTTTGCCTAGCCAGATGAATTGGGCATGCAGCCATGCCGATTGCACATGCTTGCCGGAAGGGTCATCTTGTTACACCGGGGACAATAATTTGAAGACCTCGTATGCCTTTAACAGCTACTACCAAACCAATGACCAGGATGTTGAAGCCTGTAATTTCGAGGGATTGGGCAAGATTGTAAATGAGGATCCATCAAAAGGGACTTGCCAATTCCCAATTCAGATAGAGAGTGCAGGAGAGAGGCCAAGTTTGGCATATGGAGCAATTGCTGCCCTTGTTTCCTTGGTGAGCTTGTTCACAATGGTGTAAGATGAGAATCAACTATAAATCATCCGATGCGAGTTTGGTACGTAGAATGTTAGAGCAGTTTCCTACATGCCTTTTTTCTTCTTAAATTCGTTCATTGGTTTTCATGTTAAAATGTCAGAATTTGCCTTAAAAAAGTTTGAGGCTATGGCATCTTTATCCTTCAAGTAATCAAGTGATGCCTGTAAACGACTAGTGGACAATAGCCAAGCTGCCGAGGTAGGTCAGCGAATGAAGCTTTTTGGTAGTTATGAAATATGAGAAATTTGAACCAATTTTTAATTTTTTAATTTTTTTTAAAAATTAATCTTTAATTTCTTAAATAAATTTATGTATTTATCATTGAATTAAAATTTAAATGCTTTTGATACATATAAAATTCAAAATAAATAAATTGGTCGCTCGTGACTCATGCCAAAATAAATGTGGAATCAATACTTTCCCCGTACAAAATTTTACAACTAGTAAATTTTGTAATTTATTAACACTTTGAGTTCTAAGCCTAATTAAGCACTAATTTGAGTCTATATTTAATTAAGGATATTTAAGATACTTGATTTTAACTTCTTAAAGTAAAAAAAAAAAAAAACCTACCTCTTTGGCTAATATTCGAATAATAATTTTGACACTAATTGTTTTGTCAAGCAATTTCTTTCTATATTATTAAAAGAAATACAATTCAGATAACATTCAGTTGCTATATTTTACAATAAAATCGATTGTGTATTTATCTTTATTTTTAATTTCTTCTTTTATTAATTATAAAAAAAATTTCTTTTATTTGTCATCGTGATTTTAATTTTTTTGAAAGTATCATAACTTCTACTCTATTTTTTTAAAAAAAGATATTATTAGTTAGATCGTGCTTTTATTAGGTTCTCTGTTTACATACAATAAGGACTACAAAGCTTAAAACTTTTGGACTTTATACTTATCAAAAGATATGCATATAGTTTTACATAATTATATTAATTTTTTTCATTTGAGTTTAGCATTTTCTTTTCATATTTCTTATCTAAGAGGCTCTGTTCATTATACTTAACGACTCTGTTCGATTTCTTAAACATTTATGAAAAGTGCTTTTCGAGTAGAGCTCTTTTAAAAGTGCTATAAAGATAAAATATTGTTTGATAAATTGAAAATAAAAGCATTATAGGATTTTAGAAAAACTACTATTTAATACTAGTTTAGTTTATTTTTAATAAATTTAAAAAATAAAATACTCAAACTTTAATAGACAAAGCCGTAGATGTTAATGTTGCCAGCTTTAATTCTATCCGACCCCAATTTTCAAACAAAAAAATCCGCTCCTATCCGGTCAGGGCAAGGTCCAATCCATGGGAAAATTCGGCGAACCACCTATATATATCCACCTCATGCTGCATCTGCCAGTTAGCAAGCTATCCAATTGGCCATTAGAATTGAGCATCAATGTTCACACATTTGGCCATCCTTAAACAGAAGCCAAACCCTGATCTTCTACGTCAACCATAGAATGTAAACTTGAACCTTCTGGAATTCCTAATGGAGGATCGTTGCATGAACAATTATCAACTGTATATAATTCCCACTCCTTAATTCCACATTTCTCCAAAGCCGAAGACAATCGACTGCTCTGTGTCTGTTTTGGGTATGCTCCATCTGGACTAACAAGCACAGCACCAGTGTATGACTGTCCTGCCACTCGAGCTGCCCCATGGTAATGAAACAAGCCCCAACAAAAATCTTCAGATACATCCACAATTGTCCAAAACTCATTTGACACAACCCCATTATCCAAGACACTGAAGTAAAATGTCCCAGGAACTTTTCCTCTCTTGACCCTATATTTACGCCTCCTCCAAACCATTTCTCCCTCCAAAGTTTTAACCTGAAATACTGGCTCATACCAAAATGATCCCTTTGACTTTCCCCTGTAAAATAGCTGGTACTGGCATGGAAATTGATCATAAGCTGGGTTCTGCCCTGCCACAACTCGCCAACTCCAATCCAAACTCCCCAACCAGCCAACAAATATGTCTTCGGCAATTTCATGGCACAAGTTCTTCCCTTGAAACTTAAGTATAGGCTGCACATATGGCTTTTCAGGGATCTTCGCATCTAAATCAAGACAATTATTTTTCTGAAGAACACACAGAGAAAATGCTTCTAGTTGTGGACTTTCATATGAAGCAATACATCGATAATTGCAGACCTGATCTACCGGGCTGCATTTATTCAAGCATTGGAGAGCTTTCCTACAATTTGGATCCATAAGGCAATCCAATACCTGAGGTCCGCAATTTTTCACCATGCAATTTATGGTAGAAAAACCCTTTGCTCTCAAGTTCTTCAAGATAGGTACTGGTCGAACATAAGCATTGATAATAACCAGCAAACAGAACCTTATATCATCAGAATTATGTCGTAACCATGCCTCAGATACAGTTTGCTCAACTCCCACTGATTCATTTGTTTTCTTCAGCTGAGAGATTCCCACTATGTTGTCAAATATGCTCCCTTTTGTTTCACTGTGGACATAAGAGCCTCCTAATTTGTTAACTATATTCGGATGGGATTCAAAGCAGATTATGTTAGGGACGTTTTTGCTATTGGTCTGAATCCATTTCACCGAATCTTGATTTGTAACAGCTACAACCACCAAAATATCTGCACAAAGCAATTCCTTTTGCAGATTCAGGGCTGTTTGATCATTAGATTGATGGAAATTGTCAGTGAAAACAACCATTTCATATCCTTCATCAACCCATGTCAATCTTTTGGCCTGTTCAGTAACACAAAAAGTCAAGAAAAGATATACAAGACCAAAAATAGTCCTATCAAAACTTCCCATTAGCTCAATAAAAGAGCTTATATACGATCCAATATCAATATCCAGTTCAAACTTACAACTGGCCATCTTATAAACAAATTTTAAAATTTTTATGTATGGATGTTAATTTTTGATGAGGTATCACCTGTGGTTCATTGACAGTGGATTAAATTATGCAATACTTAACAATTAATTTAAGTACAACAAAAATTGATAACTTTTTTTGCCTCCACTTAATTTGCAACTTTTGCTACTTGATCTTTTACTATTAACTTTGGGCTTCTTAAAAAATTGATAAAAAAAAGAATCATGACGGATAAAAAAAAAAAAAAAAACTAAATATCGCATTAAGGTTAATAAAATTGTGTTATATACTGAATACTGATATAAGTAAAATCATTCGCTTTCCTTTCAACTTTTATGTCCAAATGCGCAAACAGAAAAAGTATTAACCAAAATTACATAACCAACCAAATGGACTTTCCAGCTGACCTTAAAATTAAATAAAAATGGAAATTTTATGAAGATATGAAATTAAAAAACAAAAAAAGTACCACTTACAGTGTGAAGCATAACCTCCTCCCACGTGGCGGATTTCAACGGGCTGACGCTTCCTTCACCAACTACAGCCACTATCCTCACCGGCGGCTCTGCGTGCTCCGTCACCGCACTTTTTTCCTCCTCCTTCGTCTTTAAAACCGCATTAACAATAGCTCCTGACCTTAAAGTCGGATAAACTGAAAAACGAGATGCTCTCCTCTGGTGGTTTGATGAAGCTAAACCGGTTCGAATGGAGGTGAATCGCCGGTTGATTGGAGCACCGGTTTTTAGTTTGGGTAGAAGTGGAGGCTCCAGAGATAAGCTCATCACTTGGAAAATTCAGAGTCAGAGACCTAAGAGCTGCTTGCTATGGTAGAAATTGACGCGACAAAATTTGATTCATTCGTGGCTTAGACGAGTGTAGAACCCGCCTTTTTAACCGTATAGAATGGCAGTTCGATACGTGGCGTGTGTCCACTGATGATTAAATAAATAATCTAAAAATAAATGTACCGAAAATATTTTATATTTTTAATTCTATAATAATGTCATTGCATATCCTCTAAAATTTTCACATATTCATTAAATTTAAATTGCGAAAAATAATACACAACTAATATAATTATAACATGTGTAACATGTCAAATACATGTATATGAAATTATTTTAGAATTCTCGTCCATGATATATGAAGTTATAATCTAGAACTTTAACAAATTGTTTTGATAATATTTTGCTTTCCACATTTTTATTATTGCTCCAAGGGTAGCGAGGGATAAACTTTTATACATACTACAAACGTGATTAAAAAATATTAAAGAAATAAAATCAAAACTCCGCTAACATTATTTGGAGGGGACAACAATGGGCCTCCTACTAAAAAGTAGGCAACAAAAATGGAAAGAGAAGATCAAATTCCGTAAACACATCTAACTGCATATTTCCACATGATTAGTTCACAAGTCCACAGAGGATTGGTTGAAACTTGCAAACCCCTGGGATTCATATGCAGATGAACACCAGCATGCAAACCACTCTGTACATTGCTATCAAAATTCCATGCCCCCTTTCTGTTTCTAGAACTGTTCACCAGAATTATGAGGATGAAAACCTACCACCTAAGTTACATTTGCCGCTCTTCGCTTCTTGTATGAGAATTCAGCTTCAAACTCCTTCTGGAGCCATTCGTGAGATTTGGTTTTTGCTGCCAATACAACATCATCAAGGAAACATCTTTGTGGAAATTCTTCAGGTACAAGACTCTGATATATCTCAAACTGTTCAGCTGCTTCCTTCTTCTTGTCAAGTAAACTATAGATAATGCCCTGCCACATATTCCCACAATTAGCCACTTACTAGAAGAGGTTCTATAAAAATTAGTATATATTACATTTGACTCTGCTTAAGATCCATTTAAAAAAAAAATAGCGTATGAGGATTTTGGTCCAAGACAAACTGTCATGCCTACATAAAGTTTTTCCTAAAGGAAAACAAAAGGAGTCTTCGAGGCCTTAGGCCTGCTACTACTTAGCAGCAGCTAGAATACTTGATACACCTAAAAACCTTCACCTGGCAAAGATACGGCCGAAAATCTCGAGGATTATCATTCATCAAATATTGAAATTTCTTCAGCCCCTCCTCCAATTCCCCCTGCAATGCATACAAGTATTCACAAGTTAATGATGATGAGAGATTTAATAAAAACTTTAAAAGCAATGAGCCACTGTATAAAACTGTACAGTTTCTTTTGTTCCCAAGTATTGCTAAAATTCAATTTTACTTTCCAAGGTTTTTTTTCCCTGCCCGTTTAGAAATATAAACAAATATTAATCTAGTTCTTCCCTTTCCCCCACCCTGGGAAAAAAACAAAAAGAGATATTTTCAACACTAAAAGTCTGGGAGTTCTCTGAAATTTGAGCAGCTAGGATAGACTAACAAGTCACCTTCACAACATGCATTTGTGCAATTAAAATTCTTATGTTTCTTTCCTCAGTGACTCTCTTTTCACGCAGGGCAACTTCTAGAGCTTCATTAAGCCTCTCAAAGACGGCTGGACCTTCATGGTTTTTGTGCATTACCATAGCCAGACCCTGTAAAAACAGTAGATTTGTAAGTAATAGCAGTAGAATTCTTGTTCTTTTTTCCTTTCTGACTTTTCTAGGTAAGATTTGAACTAAAGAAATAGTGCAAATCCTTCCTATTGGAACAAAAGCCCAATAGCTGTTGTTCATACGAATGGAAAAACAGTACCCAAACAAGAGTTTGTAATCACACAAAAAATTGGAATCCATGCATACTATTGAAAATATTAGGAAGCGAATAAAAGTTCCTGCATCCATGGATAGAAAATTATGCTACCATAATGTTGCAAGACTTACATGTAGGCAGCTAGAAAGGGTGATCTTCTAATACAGGCAACAGTATTTGAAGGTGGCATTGAATAGCGAATAGTAACCTGGATTCAGTTTCAAATGAACTATACTTCAAAGATAAAGAATGACACTTTCTAAGAAACAAGGAGGGTACTCAGATCATATCACACCTACCTAGATGATGATTCAAACTATAATACCCATGCAAAATCAATTAATGAGGTAGTAAGAGCATAAGCAGAATTAGACAATTTCCAGCTTTAGAAAACTTGGAAGTTGTGATCTTTCCGCATGATAATGAACCCTAGCAGTTACTGATAGCACCAAAAGAAATTTAGAACTTAACTTTGCTGTAACCAATAAATTTGTTCCGGTGTCAAACCAGACACCTTTTCCATAGATTACTCCTGACAACTTACTCTTCAATACATAATTTCAAACATCAATCAGCAGGCAATATTCTAAGATTATTACTAATTCTTGAAATGTGTCAGCGAGGTTAGCATAGCTGATTTGAACTAGAATTATTCAAGAAAATCAAATATCTGCTCAAGCTGGAGAAACTCGAGTTTCATAATACTCACAGATGGCATATGACATATTCAATTCAATAATTCTTTCTCAAAACATATAAGTTCCTTGTCATTAAGCCAAAACTACAAATAAGCATAGTATTGGCACATATTTAACTAATTAAGATAACTTTAGACACAGGTCATCTTTCTCAGACAATCTCATAGTCTGGAAAAGTAATTCACCTCATCTACATAACTCAAACTTCACAAGGCCTCCATAAGCTCAATGGCTTGAAGTAAAATGTTTCCCCAGGTTTTGTATTTAGGTGACTTCTAAATAATACATGCCAATAGTACTACGGAACACTGTTAGTCCACTGACATAGAAACCATGTAATAACTACAAGTTGAAATCAAAGTGCCAAGTTGAGAACTTTACATGCAAAGCTCTGAGCAAAAGAGGCCTCTCCTCCAATATTTCTTTGAACAGTCTTTTAGCCTTGCTGAGCTGCCCCATCAGCTCATAACAAAGGGCCTGCAATAGCCTCCATTCAACCTCATTTGGCTGGATATCAATCAACTTCTCCACACATTCCACAGCTTCTTTAGTCTTCCCTCTCCTCATCTTCCCATACAAAACCACCTTCAAGGCCTCAACACTTCGAGGCTCTCTCTCCAAAACCTTCTCATACCTCTCCTCTTCCTCACTTTTCCCTTTCTGGGTTTCCTTCTCTCCCTCTAAATTTACTCTAGAAGTGGTAGTTGTTTGAGCAGGTAGAGCCACACATGGTCTAGCATTGAAGCACCCCATAAAAATGAAAGACCCAACGAGGAAAACAACAATTTTTCCTGATAAAGATTTGAAAAACTGATTCTTGGGAGAGACAGCAGAGGTTTTGGTTGGGAGAATTGAAGTGGGGTTGCGGGAAATGTGAAGTTTGGTTGTTCGGAAAGGCAGGGAGTTAGGTTTAAGGAAAGGGAGTGGATTGGTGAATAATGGAGTGAGGGTTTTGGAGGGTTTATGGTTGGGCAATTTGGGAGTGGGCAAGGGCAATTCTGCTTGAGAGATGAAACAGAAAGCTTTGATTGAACACATTTTGGAGAGACAGTAATGGAAGAAGTGAAGTGATTGTAACACTAGAAAAGATTGCTCGTTGTCCGCTCAAGTAAAGACCAGAGGCCTCTTCTGCTCAGATCACCAGGCTCAACTTATTCCATTCCGTACTTTCATGCCCCTTCCTTGTTTTTATAAATAAAAAAAAAGACTCAATTTTATTTGCTTTTCCGATAATTTTTAAAATTTTCCATTTGATCATTTTTAAAAATAAAAGAAAAGAAAAGAAATTGCGTTGGAAAGCTGTTACATGGCACTCCCAGTTCCATGGAAATTCTCAACCCAATTACTATAGGTTGTTATGATCATAATTTATTTTATATTAGAAAAAATGAGAGAAGAAAAAGAAAGGAAGAAAAGAAAAAAAAAAGGGAAAAAAATAATGTAAAAGGAAAAAAAATCATATTTCCTAATTATATACTTATATTTATTTTTTGCATATCCTAATTTTCCTTTTTCTCTCGTAAAAAGTGTATAAAAAGAATCAATTGAGTTTTGGAAAGATAAACTCTCAAGACCAAATTTAATAGATTGTAGACATTTTGTTTTCTCTTTTCTTAAAGAATAAACATAAAATTTTTTTATCTTCCTCTTTCTTGTCTTTCTTTTTTTAAAGAAAAGGAAAATAAAATAAAATAAAAGTAAAGAAATAAAATGAAGGGAAAAAGGAAAATAAAAGAAAAATAAAAAAGGAAAAAATAATAAAAAAAACAATTAGGTTGGGAAGGTACCACATGGAACAAAGAATAGATGGATTTACATAACTTTTGCCCATATTAGTGCACAGGATGATATATCTTATTTTGTGCACGTAAAAAAGGAGGATTGGATTGCAAAAAAGATAAATCATTCTCTTAATGTACGATAATTGAATCCTACAAAACTAATTATTTTATCCCATGAGATTGGATGATTAATTATTTTATAATTTCTATTTTATCTTAAAAAATAATAAATGCTTTTTATATTTTCCATTTTTTTGATAAACTGCCAAAGCCCTAGCACCCAAAACCTTGCTCTTCATAAACCCTAAGAGCAGAAAAGACCAGAAAGCAAAAAAAAAAGGCCCAGGCGAGGAAAGAAAATGAGGAAGAAGGTAGATGAACGCATCAGAACTGTCATCGAAAATGGCGTCAAAACTCGCCACCGTTCCATGTTCGTCATCATCGGCGACAAGTCTCGCGACCAGGCACCTTCATTTTCCTTCTCTTTTCTCTTTCTTTTTCTCTCTTGTGTTTTCGCTTCTTTTTTTTTTTTTAAAGGACTTTATAAAGTACCTCAGGAACCAAACGGAGTGTGATTTCGTTGCTAATTACAAAGTTTTAAATTATTTATGCAGATTGTGAATCTTCACTACATGTTAAGTAAGGCTGTAATTAAATCCAGGCCGACTGTTTTATGGTGCTACAAGGACAAACTTGAACTCAGCAGGTTCCTTTCTTATTTGAATTTATGTTGTTTTCTTTTTTTTATAATTGTATCTTACGTTTTGTTAGACACTTTTGCTACTTAATTTTTGCTTATTGTTGATGGAAGGAAAAAAACAAGTAATAAAAGTAACAATCAAATGAACCAATTTTTTTAAATTTGAGTTTGCAACGAATGTTAATTAGATGCTTGTGCTATTTTAAATGAACTTTCTTGAGGATTTGAAGCATGTAAGTGATGATTGTGATGATTATGTCAATGCAGTCACAAGAAAAAACGTGCAAAACAGATCAAAAAGTTAATGCAGAGAGGACTGCTAGATCCTGAGAAAGTTGATCCTTTTTCGCTTTTTGTTGAAACTGGAGGATTAACATATTGCTTGTACAAGGATTCAGAGAGAATTCTTGGAAATACTTTTGGAATGTGTATATTACAGGTAGCCTTTTTGTTGTATTTTGTTTTGATTCAATTGGATAAATTTTTTTCTGTCCCACATTTCCTTAAAATTGTTTGCTTTTGCTTTGATGTTAGGATTTTGAGGCTCTGACACCAAATCTTCTGGCCAGAACAATAGAGACGGTGCAGGGTGGCGGATTAATTGTATTGCTTCTCCGTTCTCTTTCTTCTCTGACCAGTCTTTACACCATGGTTATGGTATGAGTTATTTTCACCTACTGCTAAACTGCTTTGATTTTTTTAAGGTTGTCAAAAGAAAAATGTAGGAATTGCCTTATAATTCCATGTTTCATTAGCTGTCATTTTTAATTTCTACAGTGCTTTGAGATTAGTAGTCCTAAATTTGCTAAATGATTTATCTGGGATTGATATTACTTGACTATGAACCAGTGTTTTGCATCTTTTTTTCTCTGGTGTTTTTTTTTTTTTGGGGTGGGGGGTGTGTTGAGGGATGTCAGCCTGTTACTGGTCCAAATACATGTAAAGGATTTCTACTTTCATTCAATGATAAAGCTTTCTATGAGTTGGGTTGTCTCATCGGTATTTTAGTTTATGATCATGATTTCAATATCTAAAGTTCTTATTTGGAAATGAATTCTTCTTCAACTACCTTGTTGTTTTAATTGCATGTTATCTTGAAGTTTTAGATTCGGATTTGTCCCATTTGAGTCATTTTCTTCCCTTTAGATAGTGTTTTGAAATCTGCAGCATTTGATAATTGTATTGACAATACTGTCATATTTTTCCTCTACATTGCTTACACTTGTTAACTTGGTGGTTCTTATATTCAGTTTTATTTGTTCTCAAACTATCATAGTGATTACTTATAGAAAGCTTGCTGACTCAGGATGTTCATGAGCGGTACCGTACAGAGTCCCATTCTGAAGCTGCTGGGCGCTTTAATGAACGTTTTTTATTGTCACTTGCATCATGCAAAGCATGTGTGGTCATGGACGATGAGCTAAATATCTTACCAATTTCATCTCATATAAAATCAATAAACCCAGTTCCAGTCAATGAGGTAATTTTCCAGCTTCTCTAACTTCTCAGAGGTTGTGGGGTAAATTTTGTATGTGAAAATGTTTTCAAGTGTTTTCTACTACGCAGCATCATTCTGGAAAGTGTGAACATTTTTCATAGTGCAGAACAAATCTTTGATGTAAACTTTTGTTTTCCCACCACATTTCATCATAAGTTGGCAAATTCATGGGGGAATGTGAAGGCATTTCTATGCTTATAACCTGCTTCTGTCTTTGATTGGCAATTAAGGACTCAGAAGGGCTGTCAGAAGCTGAACGGGAGCTGAAGAATTTAAAAGAAGAATTAAACGAGGATTTTCCTGTTGGTCCTTTGATAAAGAAGTGTTGTACACTGGATCAGGTTGGAATGTACCTACTTTATTATTTTTTGCATGTAGCACACTAATTTGACTAATTTTTTGTGGATTACTTGGTGGATTGTTATATTTTTATGTTTGGGTAGGGAAAAGCTGTAATTACATTTCTAGATGCAATTTTGGACAAGAATCTGCGCAGCACTGTTGCTTTGCTTGCTGCTCGTGGCCGTGGGAAATCAGCTGCACTTGGGTTAGCAATTGTTGGTGCTGTTGCTGCTGGGTAAGATTCTTGAATTACGTTATTATTTCTTTTGTTCTTAGTTGATGTTTCCCGTTTTCTTATTTTTAGTTGATAGTTGTTTAATCTAATGATACAACTTATTCCAATAGGTATTCGAATATTTTTGTAACGGCACCTAGTCCTGAGAACTTAAAAACCTTGTTTGAATTTGTGTGCAAGGGGTTTGATGCTATTGAATATAAGGTACAGTTTCTCTCCACTCATCTGTATTCATGTTCACAAGCTTGTGTGTGTGTTCGTATGTGCTGAACTTATTTCTTTAATGCTTGTCTGACTATTTATAATTAACTGCTTTTAGCTTTGTTTGTTGCAAGTACATTCATAGAATGTTAGAACAGATGGTGTGTTTCTTTGCGCGACAATTTTGCATACCAGTAGGGGAGTCTTCTTTTTCCAAATTTGGCATTGTTTTATGTGAAATTTTACTTGCTCATCATAATTCTGCTTTAGTTTTTCTGACAATGTTTATTGTGAAGAACGTGTTTTTACAATCTGTTGGGCACCCGTTCTTGTACCCTGGTCTGTCCAAAGAAGTTGTAGTTTGTGGGTTGAGTTCGCTATCACTTGGCTTTTGGGTGATTAAGTTCAAATTATTTTACGAAATCTTCATTGTATTTTTTTTCTTTTAGCGACCTAAGTCTGGAAAATGTTAAGCTCCATATAAGTATCAAGCTTTTTCTTTTAAGCTTTTAAAAAAGAGAAGTTATTGATAAATAATTTGCATTACTGCATATCTTTTTCAATGGTTTCCCTGGTTATATATATTATTTATTGTAGAATTATATTTTATTGTTCGTTTTCATATCTTTTCAACTTACTGCTTTAACCTTTGGTTTCAGGAACACATCGATTATGATGTTGTGAAGAGTGTGAATCCTGAGTTTAAGAAAGCAACTGTGCGAATCAATATTTATAAGCAGCACAGACAAACAATTCAGGTTGAAAAGACATGAATGAATTTAATCATTTTTACCATATGTATATACTGCTAGATTTTATTGTTGAATGTGAGACTAGTTCCACATGCTTAGTTCTAATAAATCTGTTTTTTGTTTTTCTGCCCTGGCTTTGCAGTATATACAGCCACATGAACATGAAAAGCTCTCCCAAGTTGAGCTTCTTGTTGTTGATGAAGCAGCAGCTATACCAATACCTGTTGTAAAGTCCTTGCTTGGTCCTTACTTGGTCTTCCTTTCATCAACTGTAAATGGGTATGATTAGTTTATAATATGTAGTAATTTGCATCCTTGAAAATTTTCCCTTTAAGCATGTTCAATGCAGTCTTTAGTTCAGTGATATATGAATTTGACTTGATTCCATTGTTTTTTATCCCATTTAAAGCTATGAAGGTACTGGTCGGTCTTTATCCCTAAAACTTCTGCAGCAATTGGAAGAGCAAAGCCAGATGTCTAAGGGCGCCGAGGGCTCCCTTTCTGGTATTTCTGAGCGTTACTTGACATAATTAGTTTCATGAACAAATATTATGCATGTGAGTGCTATGTGAATGTAGAGCTGGCAGTTTTGCTTCTAGTTTTTGTCAATATCCAGTTGTAGTTGATGTGTGTGATTGCAGTTTGTGTTCTCTAGCAACTGGCTGACTTCTCAATTTCCTTTTTAATGCAGGTCGTCTTTTTA